AATGTTTGGGATTGAGTTCTCTTTTAAAGTTACATTCATTGCCTGGGTATTATGTAAAGTGCTGTGTGCACCTTCTTTCATTTCCTTTTATATGCTTACATAATAGACAAAATTTAGAAAAATTAGTCCAAGAGAACTAGTGAGACCAATTATGAAGCAAACAAGAACACAGATCTGAGGCTTTTCTTGGGAGTTTCAGACAGCAGAGAAAACTAAATAAATTTATGTAGTGGGCTAAACACAGAAGTAATATATTATTCAAATTTCCTCTCCAAATAAATTATGGGAGAAGGGGAATTAGGGGAAATTAAAGGGGTGAGCTGTGGGTTGATTTTTATTTATTTAGAAGTTGATAGAATATTGTGTTTAAAAGGAGTAATTTCTGTTTTGTTCTATTTTTATTTGGTTAGTGTCAGTTAATAGAAGTTGTCAGGCTCCAAAAATCACTTTCTGTAAAGATTTAACTTTCCAGGCATGTTGAAGTTAAAACGCTTTTGGTTGTTTCTTGACCAATAATTTAAAAATTATTCCATATTCTTTTCTGTGACTAGTTTGTGGCTGGGGGGAGCAGGAAGGGATATGGGAAGGTTAGGAGATATAGCCATAGGGGATTGGGTACAGTTTCGGGTACTAACGTACCCAAATATGATCTTCAGTATTTCACTTAGAAAGAAGTCCTGAAAATAAAAAAACTACATCTCTAACTCATTTATTTTTAAAATTGGATACCACTACGGGTACTCATACTGTATCTGGAGTTTTGGCAGGGCTTTGTTTTTTACTACAAAACTTCTGCTTATATAAAAAACTGCTCAGGAAGTTTTTCCTGCCTGCCAAAGCTCAAATAAAACTGTCATATGATTTTAATTCAAACTCATACTTGAATTTTATTAAGTACGGTATCACTTTGTTCACAAAATTGTCTTTGCTAACTGCATTAGGTCTTGATTGCTTTTCACTGAGTCGTGAAAGGCAGAATGTTTCTGGAGTTTCTAAATATATTTGGAACTGCTCAGGAAGTTTTTCCTGCCTGCCAAAGCTCAAATAAAACTGTCATATGATTTTAATTCAAACTCATACTTGAATTTTATTAAGTACGGTATCACTTTGTTCACAAAATTGTCTTTGCTAACTGCATTAGGTCTTGATTGCTTTTCACTGAGTCGTGAAAGGCAGAATGTTTCTGGAGTTTCTAAATATATTTGTCTGAAACTTTCTCAGTAAAGGCCCTTGCTTATTGGCAAATTTGTCCATTTTGACTAAAAAACAAAATCAGAAATCTTTACAAGAGGGCCTAATGTCACTACCATTTGGGGAAAAATGAAATTTAGAAGTCCTGTAAATATGAATTTCTTTAATCTAAAACACTACTGATGTTTTTGAGGGAATAAAAGCAAAAGTATCTGGTTTTAACTTGTAGTAAAAAGCAGTGTGGATTCTGAAATGTTGTGTAATTGATGTGTTCTGAAGCTGAATTGCAGAGGGATGCCACCCTGGCCGTTAGTGGAATAAATCCCCAAGTTGGATAAAAGTTGGCTTAGGTTTGCCTGCTCTAGGGTAACTAGTGCTGAGGTTGAGACACAAGAAACTTCATGCTATTATGTTCACTAAATATGCTCATTCTCTGCAACAGCCTTCAAGTACCTATATTAACATACTGTGTCTAAAGATTGCATGTTAATTGGTTTGCTAAAAATTAGTGTTGCTGATGCAAGTTGCTAATGCTACATATGATGCTGTTCTGTGCATTTTCATTAATAACTGATATATATGGAGTCTTTTAAATTGAATGAAATTGAGAAGCATTTAAAAATTGGTGAATTTAAAATGGTTTTGTTTATACAATGAGGTTTCTTAAAGTCCACAAAGGATTTATGAGAAATGATAGCTAATATTGTCAGGCACTGAAAGAAGCTTGGTGTTGAGTAAGTGTAGTATCTCCTTGTTTTATTGTGTAAAAATTCGTGGACTTTTCAGTCAAGTATTTCTATCTGTTCCTGTGAAGCTCTGTTGGAGACATTTCTAGTTTCGAAAGCAAACTCAGTATTAATAAGCCTCCATCATTTTTAGTGATATGGCAGTGTCTGTAATGTGCTAGGTGATAGCTACAATGATTTCAAAAAACATTTCCTCGAAGACAACAAGCACCAAGTGAAGGAAGTCAGAGAAAGATAACAGTGTACAGATGTTAGGTGCATTTTTAGTATTAATTCTATAGCCCTCATTTTTTGTTTTTTATTCCTGTTTAATTATTTATGCATCTTAACAATTAAAGCATGTACCCAATATCTCCCTGTGTGCCAGAAAGCTGTCTTGGACTGTAGTAGTCACTGGGGAGATGTTTTTTCTCTAGAGGCCAGTGGTGCCAGCTTTCTATTAGGTCCATCAGCATAAAGGGGGTACACTCTGTTCCACTTAGCAGTGCATGCTGGAAAGCTAGGGTAATTCCTAAAATGCCTCGATGCTTTGAAATACAGATTTCTTCTCACCGCTCAGCAAGAGAACCTGTCTTTTTTTTCCTTCCCTTTTTTTTCCTTACCTTTAAATTGTATTTAAGTGAGATCATAATTAAATGCATATAGAGAGTGTTTAGAACATCAAAACCAGGTAACGCACATGCTTATAAAAGATGCAGGTGAAGATATGAACTGCACTTCAACTTTGAGAGACTTTTCTGATTTAATCTTACTGAAGTACAGTTTTTCCTGTCTGGATGACTTTGTAGGTCTCCATTGGTAGAGCAGCCATGTGGATTTCTCTCTGTGTGCCATATACCTGGGATTGCAGGTCTTAAATAGAGCTTTCATTGCAGAATTCCTGTCTCGGTAGCCCAGGCAGAAAAAAATATTTATAGCCCAAATGCCTGTATGAAGTGGGGTGATGAGCAGCTTTCATCCTTCACTTACTCTACTTACTCCGGGCTAGAGCAAATATCTAGCTGTTCTTAAATAAAGTGTGTGTGCTGGTGTTTCTCTTCTCAAGCTAGACAGCATCCTTTGTACTTGACTAGCTAACTAGCAGGTTCTCACCCCTAAGAGGAGTAAATCTTTTGCTGTTCCTTCTGTTGACTAACGCATATCTCAGTGCGAAGTGTGTTACATTGGTTCTTATATTCTCTGTAACTCTGCAAGACGTACATAATGCAAGTACTGGTTGCTGAGTACTGGCTCTGGAATGAGTAAGACAGGGCCAGTGTGAGGCAAGTGACTTCCAGTATTTTTCTGCTTGTTATACTGTAGCATTTTCAATAAAAAGAATATGGTAGAGTCCTTCTTCTGTTGTCTGTCTTAATTTTTTATGTATTTGTGTGTCTGAAGACAGCTGAAGTTAGGTATGATACTGCAAACCTAATTGGGGTGTATCACCAGGTAGAAGGATGGTTTCCTGCTGCTTCTGATTTTAATGGGAAAATAAGAGCTAGGTAAAGAACAAAATACCATCTTGAATGGTCAAGAATCTTGTATCAAAAAGACTTGTTTCTTTTGTGCTGGCACATGCGTTGTCGTATGCTGTACAAATTCAGGAAGAAGGGGATGTGGAATAAACTGAATTTTTTTTCAGCGTGTGTTGAAATTTCAGAATTTTCAGGTTAAATGCATCTCTTCTTTATGGGATATTGCAGTTTGTCACTCACTGTTCCCTCCACTGTTACCTCAGGTAATTCAAAATCAGTCTGTCGCTGTGATTGCAAGAGGACAGATGAAAACTGTGGTTGCTGTTTTGGTTATGCTGTAAAGCAGCACTTCAGGACTGTTAAAAAAGGTCTGAAGTGCATTAGTATTTTGACCTTGATATATACCTCTGAACAATTTTAAGAGTCATGTTACTGTAAACCTGTTACTAAACTTGGGACTCCAAGTCCTTTGTCCTGGGCAAATTAGCTACAAATAGTTCACGTAGCCACTATCCTAGCTGTTTTTTCAGTATTTCTGTTAGAGCAGAGTCAACAGAAATGAACACGTGCCTATTCCTTAGTCACTGTTCCTCTGACATGGTAGCAGGAACATGGTGAATAGTTAAGGGAAAGTAGCATTTTAAAGTTTTAGAACAAGGTGGCATGGAGTTTTGAGTTGGAGAATTTAATTTTGGGGAAGAGCAATGTGATTAAAGTTATCTTTGACCAGCATGAGTGAAGACTTTTTTTATTATAATATAGGGAACACAAGGTGCAAGGGCAGTTAATTCTTGTATGATGTAGACATGGAAGTATTAACAAATAAATATGCAGACACTGAGTGAACTGGAAAAAATACTTTTGATTTTGCACTTCTATGTATAATCAGTAAAACTTGCTGCAAATTACAATTTCTAGTACAGAGCTACCCAAAGGTTCCTTATTGCTGCTGGCAGTAGCAACTCCAGCCCACATGCTATCACATGAGGGTGCGTTTCGCTGCTTGGGCACTATTCTCTTTTTGCAATAGAGAGCCTCTCTAACTACATTTTGGGGAGGACAGCAACATTGTTGATTGGTTGTGGTGGGAAAGAGAAGTTGACAAATATAGTTGTACTTTCCTGAAGAAAAAAATAGGGTTTTTTTAAAAAAACAGTGACTTGAAGAGGTACAAAAATTTGTACTTTCATGTCATAAAGAAAACATAGGTGTTGGGTTGGGTTTTTTTAACAGATAAAAACTATGACTTGAATAGCGATCTGGTCTTGTTGATAAAGTGTATATAGTATTCTCGTCTGTATAAGTGTAGTAATGTAATTATGTCAAGAATCTCCACAAAGTGTTGCAATCTGTCTCATGCAGAAGGCATGGTATTGCATTTGTTTGTATTGCAGTAGCTTCTAAAATCTGGGATGGAGCCTGAATTTCTACTGTGATATGTACTCTACAAACACATAAAAGTGTTGTTCCAAAACTTTTGTTGCATATAGTTTTAAGATTATTTTTCTCTAGGTATCCTAAAACGAGCTTCTACTTTTATTTTTATGGTTATAACTTTCACTTTGCCTAATATTCACACTGATTATGGTATAAATTTCCTTTGCAGTTTACGTGTGAACTTGGACATGGGTAAGGCAGCCTATGGGTGGATGATTATGAAAGATGACAATATTCCTGGAACAGTTGTTCGAACTAGCACCATACCAGAAGAGTTGGGACGATTAGTTTATTTACTAACGGATAAAACAGGTATATCAGGTTACAATTCTGAAATATGATGACTTTTATAAAATTTCTAAATTTTATTCTATATTTGAATATGTTAATGTAAGAGTAGATTTAGACTACTGATTTTTATTTTTCAGTAAAATTTTAAGCATGTGCTTGAGGACTTTGTACCAGTACCAATAGGCTTAGGGAGGCCGGTACTTATATGTGGAAGTCAGTATTTGCTAGTAATCTGATGTATTCCAGTGGGAACACTCCTGCTATAGTAACAGGACATTGGATAGCATTAGTAAGAGTACCATATATCTTACTTTGAAGAGACTCTGGATTAGCACTCAGGATGCTGTTTTATTCTGCGTCTCACTTGTACTCCAGTGTTGTATGATAGTAACAGTTACGAATGGCCTTCAAGAGAGCAAGTCGTTTCCAAAACAAGTCATAAGATCAGCCTCCAAAATGACATCTGTTATCCCCACAAAGTTAGTTGCTCTTTATGTTACAAAGACCAGTTCTAGAGCTGCTGTATGGTTTCATCTTCATAACTGTAACCTGTTACTATGCCTGACCTGGTATACTGGAAAAGCCAACCCTTACCAGGATCAGAAGGTAGGTAAGCGTGTGAAGAATTAATAGCTTGCTCTATGCTGCTGTCTGCCATTATGACTGAAACTTGTTACAATCTTACCATGCTCTTACTTCTAGATGTATTTAAGGAATCTTAAAAGTTTATTTCGGAAAATATCATGATAAATAACAAGTTAAATTCTGTAGCAAATACAGTATTTCTTCTCCTTTATTGGTTCTTTCCGAGATTGAATAAATCAATTCTGGTAGACATACTGTTTTTTTAAGAAGCTGAACTTTTGAACTGAGAAAGTGGTTTCTCAAGCAGCTGAAGAAATTTTTTAGTGAATTTAAGTAAAATATAGTTCAAAATGGTGAGAAAGTGTTGGGGGGGGGGGGCAGGGGTTGGCCTCTGTTATACTGTTCAGAAAGCATAATACACAGTTTACATCTCTTTCTGCTTGAAATAGTTCCATGTTCCCTCCCATGCTGAACACTTCCATTACTGCATATTTTGAAATTAAATGTAAATTTAATATATTGTCACATTCTCAAAACACACTTTCTTTTTTTTTTCCTATAGGTACATATGTTACCCTATACACTTCTGAATGCTGTTCTTCTGTTTCATAAAAGATAGACAACTGCCACCTTCTTTCTTAGCATGTAGAAAAGTCTATTGCTAATTATAGTGTACTAATTCTTCAAAGCAAGTGAACAATTCTTCTTTTAACAAGTTTTATTTCAGTTAGCTAATGATTTGTATGCTATTTGAAACTGCTTATTGATTTTAATTGCACCCTTCATCATGATAATTTGTGTAACTTTAAGAGTGCTGTCTCATCGAAGGCTTGAAATATGTAATTTACAGCATACATTTGGAAAGAGGGAAGTATTTTCAAAAATAATGAATTTTCAAAACAATGCAGTAGAGTTCATTCGCCCAAAGCACTACTTTATAAGCAAAACCAATGCCTACTACTTAAACTTTTCTGATAGGGAATCCAGTTACCATACCAAACTGGAAATGCGGTTTAAGTGTTAAGATATTCTGCTTACAGTTAGACTGCACTGAAAATTTTAAGAGGCTTGCTAAATAAAATGTTCATTCACCCAACTCCTACAACGCAGGAATTATGTTCTGACTCTGGTGACCACTTCATATTCTGAGGCACAAGGATCAGTGTACTGTCTTCTTTTCCTCAAGCTGTATGTACCTACTATCCTGTTTGAGAAGTAGAAGATTGTTTGAAAAAGAAAAAAAAAGCTGGTGCAGTTCTATTTCTAGAAAGACAACCAATACACTTAATACAACAGTAATTAAAAAGTTTTTTCTCCTTGAAAAAAAAAAATATTTTTTTGGCAACATAAAATGTAGTGATACTGGGTTTTTCAAAGCAAAAGTACTGTGTTACATCTATAAAGCTTTGAAAGGATACATTTTATTGACTTGCATATTTGGGGGGTTTTTAACCCACATCATGCCACTTGCAATCACAGTAGTTCTGTTTAATTTTAAGAAGCAGCACTTGTATTCTGGCCTTTCAGAGCGCATACTTAAAGGGGGCTAAATAGACAAATGTTAAAAGGCTTTTACCAGCAAATGTGTTCGTGTAGTTTGGAAGATTGCTAGCATTCAACCTCAAAGGCTTTTCAGAGCACTGAAGTCTACCGAGTTCTGGAGGAAGGTCTGAATCTGTAAGTTAATGATGTAAAGATGAAAATAAAAGCAGTATTCTAGGGCAGTAGTTCCAAATATTTTGGACTAACAGTCAGCAGTTGCACCCTATGCGTTTTTATCCAAGCGTTAGCTGAAAGCTGATGTAAGTGAAAATAAGCCTGGAGTCCAGCAGACGTCACCAGCTTCAGAACACTGACCATGGCCTTGCAGACCACGCTGTTCAGATCGTGATGGGAAACACTGCTCAATTTTATTAGTGTTAAATGCCCTGCAAATTTTAAACTGGTTTTAATTCTGGACAAACGTGTAGCCAATGTACCTTTTACCCGAGTATATCGGTAGCTGCTTCCAGTTTCCTTTCCTGAATACATTTGGTCTCATTCTGCATTTGTTTTAGATAGTGAACAGAGTCTGTACAGTTAATCAATGATTGCCATTGCATGGTTATGCACTGCTCATGAGACCTGGCTGCAGTACAGTCTCACTTGAATTTTCAGTTCTGGTCATATAAACCAGTTGATTCTGTTCCTCTGCCCACTTAAGGCTTGGCTGTCAGAGGAGAAAGAGACCCAGTTTTGTAGCTATCTGTCCAAGTGGGTGCTACTAAAAAGCAGGACTAAAAGGCTGGTGTAGTTAAATGTAAACGGGTGAAGTTTTTCTCAATATTGAAAATGAAAGGCAATCCAGAGAACCGTGTGCAAAAATCTTACATTGTGGTCCAAGCTTCACTGGAAATGATTGAGAATTAGTTGTTGAGTCTAAGGAGCATTGCATTACTAACATAATTGCAAGGTAGTCCTTTGTATGATTGTAAATTGGGTTTGTGCTTCATCAATAAGCTTTTTGACAAGAAGCGTCCATCACAGTGGCTCTCTCATTTGCCACAGTAGAATAGAAAATGAAGTATCCCAATAATTGCATTATAGTTTCCTTATTGTGGGACAAGAAAGCAATGTGGTATAATTAGGTTTGATTGGAGTGCATGTTTCCGGTAAGATCTGAAATTAATGATGTTGCTATAGTGACACATCTGCGGCCACCAGTGCGTGAAACATAAAGTAATTCATTCGACAAGAGAAGACATCTGTTAACTGCAAGGATGCAGAGCATATTGACACTGACCAGAAATACTAGACGTTATGTGATAAATGAACAAATGATGCTGAAACAGGAGGACAGATAATTTGTACTTAATCTGCTGGGAGAACTTTAATCTTCTCACTGGTTGCATTTGACAATGCCATTGTTTAAAGAACAATGCTGCAGAGAACTCATAAATTTTAAAACTTAACTCAGGGTGCAGCCTATTAAAGCAATACATTAATTCCTTTGTTAGGGAGTTTTTATCTTCATGTAGAACAAAGCCATTACTAAAAACACCCACTAAAACAACAGGTTTTTTAGGACTCACATTTTAATTATAGCATCCATTACCCAAAACGCCATGTTGTTTGGACTTGAATCACATATAAGTTTGACAGAAAGGCGTCATCCGTTATGGTGGGGGGGAGGGGGCAGTTACAGGGGGGAGCGGTTTCCAGCATTTTCCAAGGGCAGCTGAGCATGATATCTCATCCTCTCCAGGGTACAAAAAGATTCTGATTGTGAAAGAAAAATAAAGATGCTCAGCAATATTTATTGAACATTTTTGTTGCTTAGGATGTGGGATGGCAAACCTTCTGCTGTTCACGACAACTACCAGAGTATTCAGCTGAAACAAACGTGTACAGTCTTCCAAGCATAGTTATTTACTAATGCATACATTTGTATTTGAGTTATGTAATTAACATTTTAGCGGGTGTTTGGACCAAATGAGATACTTAACAGATATAATAGTTGAACAGATGCATAGAGCAATGGGATTCTTGATTTTTCTGGGAAAGCCTTGTGTTAGAGGTTGGCGTATATGGGCTTTTTCATTAAATGTGACTAATGTAATGTACTACTAGAACAATGAATTTCAGTAATTGTTTCTGAAAATTAATCTTTTAAGGTATACTTTAATTGAGTCTTTATGTGTTCAACACAAGCTACCACAGAGAAAGAGTAATTAAAAAAAAATGCTGATGGAATAACATCTCCTCACTTCACTTTGATGGATATATATTCACACTATTGCCCTTACACTTCCTCTACCTCTGATTTTTAGTACCGCTAAGGTTGCAGGGTGACTAGAGCAGACTAGGAATGGAAAGTTTTGATGGAGAGATCCTACAGGAAGCCTCCAGACATGCACTCAAAGTAGATCAGTCAAAGGAATCCTTACTTTGTGGCTTCTGTTGGACTCTCATCGACTGAAAATACACGGTGCATCCAAGGAGTATGGATGTTGCTCTTGGATATTGCTATCATTCTTGTGGGAGGCAGAAGGTGCAGAGGAAATAGCTGCTGCTATTCATAACTGTGTTAACTGTTACCTCTACTGTTACTTTCTGCCCAGGAAAGAATAAACACATCTCAGCTCTCTTTGTCTTTGCCCTCATTCTTAATGAGTTGTACTGGGGTTTGTTTGGTTTTAGGTTTTGTGGTGGTTATGTTTATGGCCAGTTCGTAAGTGGAGCAGCTGAGTGAGCAAACATATTCTATATATGTGATTACCGTGGGGTTCTCTTTCATTTTCTTTTTACATTCTATACCACGTTATATTTTTTCCAGGGTTCGTAGAAAGAATTTGCGTCTCCAGGTTGTTGCCAACAGTCTAGTTAAGAGCGTTGAGCCCGCTTTCCCTTGAAGTTTCCATAGGTCACATTTACACTGACTTTTTATCTGTTCAAGCAAATAGCTCAAAGTACTCATCTTTTATGAAAAGTTACTCTCTGTTTCTCACAAAGTTATTAATTCTTCTGCTGTACATATTTTCTTGCTTTTTTGCTTTGGCCTTTTTAGATTGTTGATATTGGTCCAAATTACCATCTAGTAATATAGGATCAGAAAGATCTGCATCTGCTTCTCAAAAACAAAATAAAAACACTCTACTGCTTTGTTGTGAATCACATCTGTTGCCACCCAGGGAATGATGCCTTCAGGACTTTTTCCTTAGAAATTAATTTCCTCTTTGCCTGCTTTACTCTGTGTTTAATGATACAATTGTAGGCAAAAAAAAAAAAAAAAGCTCTTGGCTTCATTTAAGAACATACTAAATTTTTCTTTGGCAATTGTATACTAACTTTTTGTCAGGATATTTTCCTTGTGTGGTACCTGCATTACAGAGCAAAGTTTAAGAATGTAGAATAGTAGTAGTAGATCATATATTGACTAGCATAATTTCTGGAAGCTTTTCTAAAATAAGCTTTTTTTATCTAATAACTCTTCATATTAGCAATGTCCTGAAAGCGTGGAATTGATAAGTAGGTCTTGAAAAAGTAGTATAAAAAAGAGGAAGCTCTTTCACTGTTCTTTAGTCTGCTCAAGGTGATAAGTACTAGAGAGCTCAGTTTTGGGTTGTTTATCATTCCTAAAGTGGGCTATATTAGAAAATCTACCTCTAGATATTTGAAGGGCTTGCATTTTGGGGCATAAAGTAAAAGGTGTGTTGTTTTGTCAAGGTGTATTAGTCTTCAACTAAAAGACTACAATTTAAGACACAACTGCTTGCTTTTAGTCTGCTCAAGGTGATAAGTACTAGAGAGCTCAGTTTTGGGTTGTTTATCATTCCTAAAGTGGGCTATATTAGAAAATCTACCTCTAGATATTTGAAGGGCTTGCATTTTGGGGCATAAAGTAAAAGGTGTGTTGTTTTGTCAAGGTGTATTAGTCTTCAACTAAAAGACTACAATTTAAGACACAACTGCTTGCTAAAGTTAAAACGTGACTGATTGGCACCATGTAATAGTTGGAACAAGTTGTTGGGAATGTTTCTGTCCCATTTCGGTGTTTCATTCATTAGGAGAATTTAGAAGTAAATTCTTAATTTGCACATGTGGTGAAACTTAACTTCCATGGGGATGACTGCAAAAGGTGTATTTTGTTTTATTTGCAGAAATTTTTGGGAGCACTTTCATAAATGCAGCTACCCATGTTTGTCTAATAACACATCAGGTTTATTGTGACTATTGTTGAAAGCCTTACACTAACCTTAAGAAGCATGAGCAAACTGTAATTGTTGTTTTGTTTCATTGGTGGGTTGGTTTTTTTGGATTACAATTTTGTGTAGCAGGTACAGGTGTTTTTGCAGCCTTTTTTCATGTCATAGAAGTTTCCTATTACTGTAGCTGATAAAAAGGATCGTATAAGTAAAGTATAGGATGCAAGTATTGAATCAGGATTGCAGAGTGTTTATTTCTGTGTCTTTACAAGTTGATTCTTCTTCCTTGCCCATTTTTCCTAAACCTCCTTCCCTTGCTCCTGATTGTTGCAAGATAGGAAAATCCGTACTTTCCTGCTCAGAAAAATTTTCTGAGCACATTTTCTTATCTGCTTGCTGAGAAGGGGTTGCTGTGGGGGGGGGGGGGGGGGGCGGGGAACACACAAATTTTCCACCTATCTACCTTTCCCTCACCAAGCATGATTTGGAGTTGGACTAATTTATTGGTGTCAGAAGAAATAATCTTTCCATATAATAATCATAGGGCTAATTTTGTTTCCTGCTCATTTTTCCCAAGCAGCAATTACAGAACTAGTAGGAAGCGGGTTTGACAGCTGCCTGCTGTCTCAAGTTTTGAGTAGCATTTAGTTTCACAACTCCTAGGGAGTGTTTATTTTAATTCAAAGGCTTGGCAAAGGTAAGGGCACCGAGAAGATATTAGAATGCCTGGAAAGTAAGGAAGGTGATGCAGATTTATTTGGAAATTTCTTGCAATAAACATTGTTGAACAAAGTGGGTGGGTTTTGGTTTTGTTTTTTTTTTTAGAAATGGAGATTTTAGTCTAGTCTCATGTTTTTTAGTGGAAACTTTCATGTTTCTCATGTGCAAACTGGAGATTGGATTTTTCTGGTCTATAATTAAAAAATTTATTCAACAAATTTAACAAAAGGTCTCAATAAAAATACAACTTCTAAGGGCGGAAGTAGTAATTTCTCACGGTTTTATATTATTACTGTAAAAACGAAATAATCTTCTTATCCCTTGTATAAAAGTAACCAAAAATTTCTGACTTTCTAATTCTAGAGATCAGGAACATTGTCTTCCTGGGCTGTTTTCCAACCTTGGGAATATTCTACTTCTTGTGTGAATTTTTGATAATGTTAGGCATATTTTGTGGAGAATGTATGCATTTCACATAAACCTTATTTTAAATATTCTTTAAAATTCAAATAATAGGACTATAGAAAAAAAATCCTCAACAATGTGTAAGGAAAAGCAAAGGGGAATTGTTGTGTTTTAATGGTAGAGGGGGAATATAGAATGATCATCTAGTGCTGGTAATACAGGAAGGCATGGTTTGATAGTGCAGTGTGATGGTACAGTAATTGAGATGAAGTGTCACTGTACAGATATTACCAGGGAGTAGGAGTGGTAGACATCTCAAGTATAACTGAGAAAGACATGAGACTTTTGCAGCCCTACCGAACCTTTGAAGATCACTAATGGTTCTAGCCCTATTAGATGCATAAACTAGATGCTAACTGTCCAAACAGTTCTGTTTTCCAGATAGTAATTACAGCATATGTCATGCTTTTAGTCTTCTCTCTTCCTGTGGCTTACTGTGTATTTTGGCATACTGGGACAAAGATATGATATAAAAATAGTTGAGATAAAATTAATATGAAATATTTTATTCTGCAATTTTTATTTACAGATAATTATCATATCCTCCATATTAAAATATCGTAGAAGCTTCAAGAATGTCACTTTTGGTATTGTGTTTATTTTTTTATCATCAGATTTATGTATTTTAATGACCCCAAACTGTGTGGTTAAATATAAGAATAGCTTTATACTATATTAATTTCACTTTGGCTGAGTAACCATAGGAAAAAAGTTTTAGAAAGGGCCATTATCAAAATAATCTTTTGTGAGCTGGCCATGAGAAGCTAGGCGATAGTGACCTCTTTTTGCCTGATGTGCCCCATTATGGAAGGCTGAAGCCCCCACCCCTCAATTAGAGCTTTTCCAAACCAGAGGATGTCACTAGTTGGCGGAGGTGGACACAAAGTGTCAGTGTGTGACTGACACCCTGTATTTTCTTACAAATGTGAAGTGAGCTCTGAAAACACTGATTTCGTTCATTCTGGCTTATTCCGGTTGGAGGCCAAATCTGTCAAATTTGGAAGTGATGTTAGGTCTTAATGACTTGCTCTAGATAACATTGAATGTGCCCTTTTGCCAGAATGTCTGCCTTCGTACACGAAGTGCGGGATATCTGAATTTTTGGGGTTTGGGTTTGTTTTTTGCTTTAGATTTTCTGATACATGGTGCAAACTCTTGCATTGGCTTTTGAGAGTCGGTTCCATCCAGATACTGCATTTTCTGTCTTTCATATGAAGAGGAAAGTTTGTCTTTTTTCAAGTTTGTATATTCAGTTGTGTTGGCAGAATCAGCTTGAAGGTGGAACCAGTGATTTCTTCCAGTATGACTAACCCTGATCTTTCTTCACAAACATTCCTTTAATTAACTAAACTGATGCTAACTCATGATTCATTCCTTCTTTCCAAAATTCTCATGGTATTTTTTGCTGCTTTGTGATATACTACTTCTTTATTACAGGAACACTTACACAGAATGAGATGATATTTAAGCGCCTCCACCTAGGTACTGTGTCCTATGGAACAGACACAATGGATGAAATTCAGAGTCATATTATAAACTCTTATTCACAGGTATCTCATTTCATAAATATTTACCTTTGATATTGAGATTTTTTTAACAGCATTGAACCATTATTGTGACCGATTATGTCTAGAAATTTGAGATGCTATGAAAGTTCTTTCATTTGTAGGTATCTCTTAACAGATATGATGAAAGGGGAAAAATGTGAGACAGTACGTACTTCTCTTCTGATTCTGAAGTTCCTCTTAATACCCACTTAAAGGAGTTTACTTTTCTGTTCCCCACTAGCAGAAATCTGTGTTAACCTGTCTGTGCAGTGCAGTCTTTTTCCTGCCAAATTGTCTAAGAGTAAGCTATTCATTACAGAGACTACAAATTACAAGTAAGTGTCCAGAACAAGACAAACAGTAATTATATCTTTGAAGATATTCATCAAGAACAGACATCGAAAAGCCACATTAATTGGTATAACCAAAAAGTAAAAAAATAGTTGTCAAAATAAAATTTATAAAGGCATATCTAAAAAGTGTTTTTAAAAAAATTAAGATGATTGCAAACAGCATAAAATTGAGTGTGGGGGAGAAAATGGAAAACTCCATATTGCTTGAGAGCGAAGTGTTCCTCTGGTATGTAAGAGTGCTTGGTCTGGAAAGTGTACAAGAAGATTGTGGCTCCCTGCCTGTCTGTGGGTCAGTTGGGGGATGAAGGAGGAAGATGGAATTCTGCAAATATCACTTGCATCTCCCATGTGTGTAAACTATTTGGGTGCTTTCTGCAAACCTTCCTAAGCACCTGATTCCACTCTGAGATTAGGAAGAATTTTTTTACTTTATTTTTTTATTTCTATTCTTTGAAACAACAAAGAAAAAAAATTGACAGAAGAGGAAATAAATGATAGGTTAACTAATATTTCCATATGTTGTGTACAGTATGATAAAACTTTATATAAAAGTTCTTTTCCATAGTTAACTTGGATACACAAACATGACTGGCTGACCCAGTTAAGTTTGTAGACTGACCTCCTTGTCTGTGTCCTCATTTTCTTCTGTAAAAGGATTGTAGGATCAGCAGTTGATTTGAATCTTTAGTTGTGCTGTGTTTTGAACTATGGCTCTCTTCTCATTTGCTTAAAATAAAAATTAAAAACTAGCTGTTTGACACCATGCTGGACTCAGTTAATATTTTGTAGCTTTTGGGAAGAGAGGCAGGAGGAAAAGCGGTGAATAAGCAATGTATGTTATAAGTTTTTAGTCTGCAACTTCAATTTCTGTATTATTTCCCATCTAAACAGATCAACAGATCCACTTCTTGAATTCCTTTTCCCTGGATAAATCTATTTCAGCTTAATTCTTAGTAGGTATAGCCATGAATAGTAACTGAGATGCAATAATATGCCTTGGAAATGAGATATGGAGCTCTTTTACCTAAAGATCAGCAGTCCAGTTTGGTTCAGAATGGGTTACTGAAAGTAATTGCTACCTGACAATGTTTATAAAAATCACCCAAACATAGTTTTGTTATAATGGGTTGTTTGGGTATTCACAGTAACAACTGTAGCAATAAATAATATTAACTGACAGTCTTGAGCTGGTACACCTAGGTCTGACTGAGTTTGACAACTAAGCACCAGTCTTCTAGAGGAGGCATATTCATTAACACTGCTTTCGTATTTTGGGGTTAAATATGCTCTCTGAAAAGAATTGCATGATTCCTGGAATTCTTACTTGCTTAAAGCTTTTACTAGTTTGTTGTAAAATTTAATGAGTGGTACCCATGGTTAATTAAGTTTTTAATAACTTTAACATATTTGGCACTGAATTTTTCAAAACAGTAAGAAATGTGAGGGAAGCTTTTTTTATCAATTGTGGGAAAAGATTTCCCAAATCTAGGATTGCTGTTAGTAGACGATCAAAAGAACTTTCTTGGAATTTCCTTTTTTTTTTTCCAGCTTTATATAACACTACTCGATGTTTAAATAATGCTTTGATTATGTGTGTTGGTAGCAATTCTTTAAAACAGAAAAATGAAGGCGTCTTGGTAACAAAACAAGCAACTATTAAACAATTGTTTCAATCTGGAAAAGTATGGTGAGGTTTTTATTTAATCTATGATAATAGAAGCTGCCAGTTAGCTAGGCAGTGGTTCTTGTGTGACATTGATTTTATCCCTTGTTTGTGTTCTGTTTTATTATTACAGTGGACCTACTAGACTATTGTCATCTTAATGTAACACACAAATCTATTATAACCTGATTATATTTCCCCACTGGAAGCATTTTGTGATAGAGGGCATAATCTTTAATGGAATTTGTGTGAAATTAAATTATACAAGCATCAATAAACATAACATAATTCAGAAGGAGTAAATCAGCTTAATTTATTTGCGGCTGTAATGGCATCAGCGTTAGCAGAATGCAAATGCAGAAGTTTAAAGCAGTAGCTGAAAAACAGTGCCAGATGAGCAGAAAGTTAAACCCTTTATTAGACAACACTGTAATTTGATGGGCAGAATGTTCACGGTTCAGCAGATTGCAGTCAGGAGGAAAAAAGCATGGTTTCTGAAGAGGTTTTCCGAGTTACCCTGGAGTCAACAGAAGAGCCTTTGGTAGTACTGCTGATATATTTAATGTGCTGAGTTTTAAAAAACCCAAAACAAAAAAAAACCCCAAACCCACTTATTTTCAACTAACTATAAACACATAGTACTTTCTCTTAAAAGACTAATTTAGTCGTGTGCTTGAGCGTTTCTGAAGGATAACTTAAAATAGTGCTAGTTTAGTGGTTATGCAACTGTGATGTGATCTTCAAATATGTGTCAAACTATTTTGCATGATTATTTTATTAGATATTGCATTCTTGTAAGGACAAACAAATTTCAGCCTGCAGCAAAAGCATACAAACTGCATTAGTTCACAAATAATATAGAAATTGTGTAGTTATAAATTAAATCAGCAATATTTGTATTTTAATGGCTCCTAATATTTATGCAACTGTGATGTGATCTTCAAATATGTGTCAAACTATTTTGCATGATTATTTTATTAGATATTGCATTCTTGTAAGGACAAACAAATTTCAGCCTGCAGCAAAAGCATACAAACTGCATTAGTTCACAAATAATATAGAAATTGTGTAGTTATAAATTAAATCAGCAATATTTGTATTTTAATGGCTCCTAATATTTATACTCTTCAATGATCCTTGCTTTTGTTCTTTTGTTCCATTCCAATGTGGTGGTCTTTAAAATACAGAGATTTAGGTGAAGATTTAAAAGAAAAGGTGTTTTTCAGTTTAATGCATTGGAGTTTCCAACCTCTGAATGTACACAGGTGACAAAGAGACTAAACAACAACAACAAAACACCACCCTTCCAGTTTTGTTTTGGTGTTTCTGAACTCATCCAATTGGTTGCTGGCTTAAAGACTTTTTAAAAAACAATTCATAGAATGTGAAGGACATTAAAGGACTATTGTGACAGATCACTGAAAAAAGTAAATTCTGATAAGAGGAAGCAGGGTTTTCTGCAGAATCCAGTCAGCCTATTCATCCCTTTTACTGCATACTTGTTTTCATTTCACATTTTTCAATTGTCTGCAGGCTCTGTTACTGAAATCTGACTACAAATGCAAGGTGATGAACCCACAGTTATGTATCAGTTCTACGGAGAAGTAGATGAGGGTTTTCATGAATCACAAACTGAACGAGTTAACACTAGGTTATATAAAATAAATAAATGGTTACCATCCTTATCATTTATCAACCTTTGTATTGGGAACAATCGGATATATATATTAGTATTCATGTTTTGTTTCCATTATTGAACTTTGTTTTACTATTCATTGTGTTGGGTCTTAAAGGTGCACTCTCAGAATAGTGGAAACGGTACGAGTTCGACACCATCTAGGAAACCTCAGTTGTCTGCACCCAAAGTCCGCAAGAGTGTCAGCAGTCGGATACATGAAGCAGTGAAGGCCATTGCACTGTGCCACAATGTGACCCCAGTATATGAATCCCGGGCTGGTGTGTCTGGAGAAACAGAATATGCGGAGGTGGATCAGGACTTCAGCGATGAAAATCGAACTTACCAGGCTTCCAGCCCTGATGAGGTTAGTATGCAAGGGTGAAAAAATTAATATCTCATAAAGAGCAGGATAAGCTAAGTTAAAAAGAGCAGAACTGTGAAAGAAGAGTGTTTTGGGCTGGGGTTTCTTTAAAATTAGCAGTAATCTGTTTTTATTTCCTCTACAGCTGTAGGAAAGATCTGGTGTTTCTTTGTTACATAAAAGTGTTTTCAATTATTTGACTAAAAGGTCTGTGAAGTCAGTGCTTTGGGATCAATACTGAGTATTGCAATTAAAGTTATTAGGTGTATTCTCAAGTAATCTGTTTTTATTTCCTCTACAGCTGTAGGAAAGATCTGGTGTTTCTTTGTTACATAAAAGTGTTTTCAATTATTTGACTAAAAGGTCTGTGAAGTCAGTGCTTTGGGATCAATACTGAGTATTGCAATTAAAGTTATTAGGTGTATTCTCAAAACATTAATCCATGTATGAATCATAGCATATACATGCAAAAGGGAATATGAAACTGCTTTGAGTGATGGACAACCAGGTTTGTTAGCTGACTGAGACACTACCAGTTAGTGGAATGTATAGATGCTTAACAGGAAAAAAAAAATCCAAACCTCAGATACTCCTGTAGAAAAGCTTTTGAGCTTCAAACCCTAGGCAGCTTCATAATCTTCGGGGTTCAGTCAAAATTGCATCAAGTGTAGCACAAATTTAAAACCCCATTTCAATAAAAACATGCATTTGACTTCCATTGAAATCCAAATTTTAAACAAATCCCACTGCTTTCAGTGGATTTGAGTTATTGTAACAAGGTTGTTGTAAGATATGAAGAAGGGAATGTGTATCTGAAAGCCCGTATATTTTCCTAGCTATACAAGTTGATCTAATACAAGATAATATTTCTTCCACAAACCTCATCTTGCCACAGCATAGCCTATTATTCTTGGTATACATTTGGTTTACATGTCTAATATATCACCATGTGTAATACTAACAAAACTTTAGCAATTCAAACAGCAAGCTGTAATTGCAAAACGTAACAAGTCTATAACAAGTATTTTTAGGAATGCAAGAAATAAAATTCAGTCTGTCTTCATGTAGTACCGAACTAGCAGGCATTACATGCATTTCAGACGCTATAAACACAGTTCATAGTGTCAAAGGACTGTATGATATAAAGAAGTGGCTGGTTCTCAGTGATTTAAAAAGTGGCAGTCGGAACATTTTTAAAAATAAACTCTAGGCAGGACTTGCAACGCTGCTCTTTGGCTAAAATCAATAATCCATAATAATGTGGTGTTATATAGTGTGGGTTGATCTGCGTTATGAATTGAGAATGCTGGAAGTGCATTTGTTTATGCCAGAGATACACTGTAAATACAGTTTGTTAGTGTAGTTGTATGTTTGACTTGTATTATGCACATGCGTACAAATTTTCATATACACATATATTCATATTCACTAAATAGATCAGTGTAATGAGCCTGTGAGGTATTAGTAAATATAATGAAAGACTGCATGAGCAAGTATCTACCTATGATGGTATGATGACAGCTATGGATTAAGTAAACATTCTGCTTTAACAGCCAAAAGTATTACTAAATCAGGTGAAGAGACGTGCAATTGAGAGAGATGATGTGAGTTTTTTCTCCCACTTGCTCTTCTCTCCCTGTCGGCTTTTGTATATTCATTCAGTTGCTTGGAACCTGAAAATATTACCATAAAGAGCAATTCTCCTCCCATATTTGCTAAAGAAAACAGCTGTAAGACTTCAGAATTATGCAAGTGGTGCCCTGGGAAGACAGGGAATTTGACCTTGGAAAGAGGAAAGGAAAGTTGATAAAATGCTAATACGACAGATCTGGGACTCAGGGTGGAAAGGGAAGTGGAAGAGGAAGTCAGCAACAAAGAAATGGTTAGTGCTCCAAGGAAGAGAAAGCATAGGTATCCTTGTAATAATTATTTTTATTTTTTTTATCATCTTGACTCACACATTCAAACTATATGACAGTGAAATGAAAAACTTACGTTTTAGAACAGACAGCATGAAATTTCCTTTTCATTTCTCAAAGATAATGCTTGAAACACTAGTAATATTATTGTATTGAACAAATATGCTTTAATATAATGAGAAATAGATGCTAAATGGAGTCTTATAAAAAGATGAAGCTACAAAAAACGTTTAAACAGCATAAAAATTGCAGCATGACAGCAAAAAGCCTAAGAGTTGAAAGACTAGCAGGTCTTTATCATAATTTTTTAAAGAGTTCTATTGATGCAATGTTTGCAAATCACTGGAGCCTAAGGAAAATAATGTAAATGGTTCATTATTTAGCTTATTGAACTTTCCTGCAGTTAGGCTGACGGATGATGCCAATGTTTCCCAATCACCAAAGTACCATTTTAAAAGCATTTTTTATTGAATAAAGTGCTTTGAATATTGCACCCTGGAGCTTTATTTAGGGAAATGGTTCAATTGATGTTTTCTGTTTAACCTCAGCACTGACCTATCAGAACATATTTGGTTAATAAGCAACATTACCATTTAATAGACTTAACCAGTTTTATGCATTGTACTTTCTCAACATTAGAACTCTGTTCTCTTAGATTTTGTTTATGGATCTGGCTTGACTGCAGACTTTTGAAAGAAGATGTTATTTGCACAGTTGTCTGCCGCATTATATAATATTGCGTGATATCACCATAGCATATAAAGAGCAGAGAACAATGTGTAAGTATAAACCATGTAGGAAAGTATAAGAAGCAGTTTAGTAATACGTTGACACACTATACACTTAATGAATTGACTTGAGGAATTCATTTGAAATTCTTCACATCTGTGTGTATGTGTGCATCCGTATACAGATAAAATATAACCATAACAAAGTATGCACATTTAGAAGTAGGTACATTCATCATAAAAGATGTATTTATCTATTGTCAGAGTAACCTGAGATAAGTAACTGATTGTGTATTCATAATGTGAACCCTACTTATGCCAGGCTCTTTGTTTCTTATGATAAGTGATCAATATTTCATTTTCTCTGAAAGAGTGGAAAGTTTCATTTGTCTGTCACTTGTCCTCTACAGCTGTAGCATAGCAAACAATAAACATTCACTGAGAACTCACTGAAAAAAATGAAAACGGCTCCTACTTGGCCAACATCATAGGTGTGGGTTCAGCTCATCTGTAGAAAGCCAGCTACCTTAATGTAATGAACAATCATAAAAGGATATAAGCTAAGTAGGTATAGCAATGGAGTTCAAAGGTCACAGACCCAAGCAATTCAGGGGCATGCTATGAACAGGAGCCTTTGAAGACCTTTGCTCCCCTTGGTCAGAAAAGATTGATCAGTCACGATTTTTAATGACTGCTTACTCTCATAAACCAGCTATTTACTGGTTATGCTTTGTCCTGCACTGTTATATTCTCAAGCATTTCTAATTCCAGGATTTTGAATATTTAAATACTACCTTGAAGTGTGGTCAGTTATTCAATTCCAACGTTTCTGTCCAGAGACAACAGAGTTGCTAAAATTAATTACAAGGATACAAAGCCAATCATTTAAAAACAGACAGGGATATGATATGCCCTTAGTGAAGCAGCTTTTGTATTTACAAAAGTGAAGCTGTAATGTATGAGACATGTTGTATTGTTTAATTCATTTTGTTGTGTGTGCTTATTGAAGCAAGACTAATTGTGTTGTTTTGTCAATGTATTGTGAAAAGCAAATCACTCAGCATAGAACCATCACTTTCATGACCTTCGAGACCCACAAAGAATAACTACTCTATAGCTTGTCTTGAATATTGATCAGCAGTTTTTTCACATGATACATGCGATATGTGTATCATGTATATATGAAAATACATGATCAAGCTGTATTTTTAAGTTAATAATTTTATTTTAATTATGAAGTTTCTCGATGAAAAGTGATGGACTGCAAATGTTAGTTATCAAATCATTGTTTTAAAATATAAACAAATCAGTTGTTTATAAATATAAACAAATCAGTGCTGATTGGAAACATATGTGAGTTGTTGTTGAACAATCCAAACAGAAACTGTTGGGAACACTCAGGCAGTGGGAAAAAGAAATCTCTCTGCTTCTTCCCTGTTTCCAAACCAATAGCCTTAACTTCAAAATACCACACATATAACCTCTGTATATCTTACACGGCAACTTGATTTTGAAAGTAGATCCTATTGTCTGCAGTGAAGATGCTCTTAAATACTCTGAAATAAATGAAGGTTGGTTACATGAGTTCTTCTAAGCAGCAAAACTAGCTTACAAAATTTCCATCCCTAGTCCTTCTCTCTCACCCTACAAATTGCTCCCTCATATATGCCAAAACCTTTGAAGCCTTTATTTATATGGGTCATTTTTCAGTTTAAGTGGTCAGGTTCATAGCATGGCTCCAGAAAAGCTGTCAGCACAACTCGGGGAGAACTCCCAAACTGCTGGATGGGGTGGAAAAGAACTGCCAACACCAGCCATGAGGCAGCGGATCTTTTTCTTAAACTGATGTTAGCTCAAAAGGGAATATTGTATGTTGAAAGTGACAATTAGTTGGTCATAAACTCTTTTGAGCAGCACTTTGTAAATATTGAGCAGTTAAATATTTCTGCTGGGGAGCAGCAATGGCAGGCTGGCCCACAAGGAAAGGGAAACCAGGAGCTGAGCATGATAGCCAGACTGCTTGAGACAGTGGCCTCAGTGATGAGGCGTACAGCCCCACAATATCCAAGCAAGGTGAAAAGAGCATGTCCCATGATGGAAACCAGAGACAGTCAAGAGTATAGATTGTTATACAGGACTGTGGTGATGAGGCACGTCTGAATTCAAGCCAAGAAGTCAAATCATTAAGTCAGGATCAGGTCCCGAGACAGTTGCCAGCATTAGCCAGTCTGGTGATTGCAAGGAGAGTTCATGGCGGTGAGGCAGGTCCAGAGCCAGGAGGTCGTGTCTGCCTATCAGGGCCGGGTCAGTGGGGTACGTGGCCAAGTGTTGGACATAGCTGCAGCGTGACTGCAAT